CCGATTGTCACTGCTTAGAAAAGAGTAATTCGTACGATTATGGGATTACGTAGGTATTGATCACACACTTTTACACTCTGAGATTATTAAAATTCAGTGAAATTAATATTTATTTCTGTTCTGTTTGTTTATAATTCACTAAATATTTACAATAATATAATGTTTCACATAAGAAATTCTGATAATTACGGTCTTCGATTCCCAAATTCATTGGCAGTTCCATTATTAAGACAAGCATCCTCTTTCACGGGGTGGTCGTCCCTCCCGTCTTTCAAGAGGCTTCTGAAATCGCATATATTATCGCAGTATTAAATGTCCACTCTGTAAACAAATCAATAAACCACAGTGTTTATTAAGTATCTCTTCTTTGCCATTATCTATCAACTTGTTAAATGTCATGGAACTATGTACGTGACTTTGTTTTGTGTAACAGCCAATGAGCTGCCCTAAGAATGTATCCACAAGGGAGGCTCAGCCGACACTTTCTTGTAAACTGTACTTTGTATTTTATTTCTTTGTGGCTTGATAAATATTTTTTAACTAAAAATTTCAAGATTTGAATTTGGAAAGGTCGACAGGACAGCATGGAATGTGTGAGGCAAAGTGGTGGTAATAAGTTCGGTGAACAAATGATCTTTTAATACTGATAAAACGATAGTACAGCATGACTGGCGGTAATGTACTGAATTTCACTGCGTTGTAAGTCCTCGCCCCACACATCGTGCGTTGACCCTCGCTCCTCGCCAGATGCATTGCGGTAAAAATAACTTTGTAGACGTAAGGGCCGATAGTATATGATATCCCATACCTGTGAGTCGACCTTGATAAGGGACCGTGATATGATATTTGGGTACATGAACTCCATCTGCTATCAGAATTACTTTCTAATTAGATTTTAAAATTTTCCTGTGCGTGCCTTTGTGTGTGTGTTTGTGTGTGTATGTAAGAGTGTTTGTCTGTCTTATTTTTTGTCTGTCTGTATTATTACATTGTCTTTGTAACTTGAAGTGGTGTTCATCCCTTATTAATTTCTGTTTAAATGACATACATCTTTTTATGCACATTACTGCACTAACATACACTTAAACACACACACATATGTGTGTGTGTGTGTGTGTGTGTGTGTGTGTATATATATATATATATATATATATATATATATATATATATATATATATATATATATATATATATATATGCATATATATATATATATATATATATACATATATATGCATATATATATATATATATACATATATATGAATATATATATATATATATATATATATATATATATATATATATATATATATATATATATATATATATATATATATATATATATATATATATATATATATATATATATATATATATATATATATATATATATATATATATATATATATAAGTATGTATGTATATATATACATATATATGCATATATATACACATATATACACATATATATATATATATATATATATATATATATATATATATATATATATATATATATATATATATATATAACACTATCTAGTGATTCTTGATGCACCGAGTCAAACGCCTTCTTGAGGTCGATGTAGGCTGCAAGCAACCCACGACCGAACTCATGACGGCGTTCCAGAGTTGCTCCAGTCTCTGGTGCTTCAGTAAGTGGTCGCGCCTGAAGAATGCGGGCGAAAACTTTGCCTGATATATTGAACAGTGTAGTGCCATGTTTGTTGCTACAGTCCCAGCGATCCCATTTCCCCTTCCAGAGAGGGATGACCACGCCTCTCAACAAGTCAGCGAGAATGGAACCAGACTGCCAGATGGCAGTCAGGACTGACACCAGCCCCGTGTCATACTTTCACCCCCAGCCTTTAGCAGCTCCGCAGGGATATCACTTATGCCTGCAGCTTTCCCACTCTTCAGCTTAGAAATCACCATCCTAACCTCATTTAGGAGAGGAGGTTCCTCACTGACGGGTGGGTCGGGCACAGGTATTGTGATACTACTTGTATCCAAGCTAACTGTTGGAGGGTCTACCTGGTACAGCTGCTCAAAATACTCAGCCCAACGTTCACAAATCCCAACATGATCTGAGATGATCTGGCCATCCACTGAGCGGAATGCAGTCATCTGCGAGGAGGACTTAGAGTTCAGCTTTCTCAGGGCTTGGTAGGCAGGGCGAAGGTCAATTACCAAGAAATGACCTTCAACCTCCTCAGCAAGACTCCTAATGAACTGTTCCTTGTCCCTTCTCAGCAGTGGCTGGGCCCTATGCACCAAAGAATGGTAGCAGGTCCTGATTGCCATTCAGCCGACCCATGCGACATGTTTCAGTGGCCTCTAATGTTTCCAAGGAGATAAAATTCTGCCTTGCCCTTAGGCATACGCCAGTGGACTCCTACACTACTTCGAGTGTTTCACGCTTGAAGGGCTCCCACAAAACAACTGGATCCGTCAGGTTTTCTGTGAATCTGTGAATCGATCAGAGACTGCCGTGGCGAACCCACGGGCACACTCCTCCTCCCTCAATCTGTCCAAGTGAAACACCCTAGAGTGGCCACTGGAGGGACAAGGAGTTTTGAAGTGGACCCATAGGGTAACTACTACCAGCCTATGGCCAGTGCCAGAGAACTCGGCACTCCGGTAAACCCTGCAATTTTGAAGGATCCTCCAGCAAATGCTGACAAGAATGTAGTTGATTTTCTTGGCCACAGTACCCGTATCACTATAACATGTCCAGTAATGTGGGTTGGAGCAATGGTACCAGGAGCAAGAAATCCTCAATCTCTGTGACCTAGCAAAGTCTCAGAGGAAAAGGCTGTTCTCGCTGCTGGGATCAGCTCCCTAGCCATGAGGGCCAAATGAGATCTCATAGCTAGCTCGATCACAGCTGGATACCGCATTGGAGTTACCCAGAACAGTGCGAATATCTCACCAGACACATCTGCCACAGATGTGAGTTTGTCATAGAATGCTTCTTTCACATCGAGTTTGTAATCATCGGTAGGAGTGTACACAACAATA